TCCACAACCTCAGGAGTGGCATCCACAACTGGAGAGGGAGTAGACTCCACAGGGCTTGTCTTCTCGTCAGATGCTGGTGAGGGGGGTGTAGAGGCGGGCAATTCAGCATCGGCTGACGAAGTTACGGAATTCACGGGTACAGTGGCGATGTCCTGTTGGCAAGCAACAACATTTTATTCGCATCAAGAGCTCAAGGGACACAGAGACAGCTGAATCATAGCTCAGCGCGTAGGGGTACCTCATTTCCTGTCTCATCCACCACTGGCTCAACTGGTAGCTAGAAACGTGGGATGAATACGCTGCGCATCACACAAGTATAATAACAAACCTCTCCAGAGTCGTAGATGGTGACATCCTCCAATGGACGATCATTGCTGCCCTTGGGAACGTCCTCTTGAGTAGAAATGAGAACTTTGGTGAGTGTAGAGGTAATAAATAAAGCAAACCAATAGCGTATACAATGTCCATTCCCTCCAGGACTTTTCCGAAGACCACCTGTTTTGACAGAGCTCAAATAATGCGGTGGTAAAACTAACGCCAAACTCACATGTTTACCGTCCAACCAACTGGTGACTACAGTGCAAATGAACTGGAAAACTACTCAGTAAAGCTTGTTGAGAGCAATCACAAGCTTACGAATTGAGATCCTAGAGCACTATGTTAGATGACATGAACGATGGGAGAAAACATGCCTACCGTTGGTGTCCTTGCCTGCATTAGCCATGGAAAGAGTGCCGGGTCCGGCGTGCTTGAGCTTGCTGAAGCAGACGTCAGGGTCGAAGACATGAGTATGATCACGAAACCTTACAAGTTCTCATCCTTGAAACGGTCGCCGTAAATAGACTGCAGGACCTCCGTAAGCAACGTTCATGCTAAGACGGGTCCCAAATTACCTTTCCACCGGTGCCATCGCCACGAGCTAGTGAGATTACATCAAGTTGGCTTCAGAACACATGAGATAATGATGGTACACATACTGAAGTCACCGCCTTGGATCCTGGCAAGAGGATATCAGGTGAATGTCCGTAAAAGAACGGACAAGAATCTCACATGAAGTTCTTGATAACGCGGTGGAACTTGGAGCCCTTGTAACCGTAGCCAAGCTCCTGACCATCCTTGCCGACACCAGTCGCAAGTGCGCGGAAGTTCTCGACTGTCTTTGGAACGGTCTGCGGGGAGATGAGTCAACCACATATCTGTCAGAATAGGTAAGGCGACGTACTCCGCCATAAAGACCAATGACAACTGTTAAACATTCGAGCCCCGTCAGATGTATGTCCCACGGCGGTCTCAACATAACACAAACCTCGACCTATGTCCTTGTCACCATGTCTGATATCGAAGTAGACCTTATGGGTGATTTTGGGGCCCTTGGCAGCATCCGCAGATTGCGCACAGAAAAATGCGGCTATAGAAATTAAAACGAGCGCAAGAGAAACACGACCGAACATTGTGGAACAAAGTAGTAAAGGTGTGAAGGGAGACGTGTTCAAACTAATTTGACTTGAGAAAGGTTATCAGATGTGGGAACAACATTCCATTTTTGTTTAACTCGCAGTTCTAACGATCAAGACTGAAGTTTATACAATATTGATATCAGCGCCGCAGGGGGAAATGGACGATGAACTTGTCCTCAATATTGCAGAGGATGCATCTGTAGGACCAACAAAGCTAGCATCAAAAAAATCCGGTCGCTGGACGGACAGGTGAGCTGAAGTTTGATTTCATGTATGCAGCTAATCATCATAGCCTAGGTTAAAGGCTAAACGAGTCCAGAAACGCAGGACCGACCAGCCTGACCATCATCCTGGCAGCGATAATGATGACCATTCTCGTCCCGCAAAGCGGATGCGACCTGACATCCCCCCGCCTGCTACCAAAGCTCCTGCAATGGACCGTCCGGCACTTCCAGCTAGGCCTCCGACTCAGATAATCTCGTCTCTATTCTCGTATAACCCTCAAGTTGAGGCCCCCACACCCTCCGCTATCCAAAAAGTGCCCTCTAAACCGAGCAATGCACCATTGACCGGCTCAGCCACATTCGCGGACCTGGGTCTTCATCCTCTCCTCGTCACTCACCTACAATCCAAGATGAGTATCACAAAACCGACATCCATTCAACGTGCTGCCCTTCCTATATTCACGAAACCTTCTTCCGAGGACACGAATACACGCGATGTTTTTATACAATCGCAAACTGGCTCCGGAAAGACTATGGCATTCCTCCTACCCATAATCCAGGATCTTCTCCCCCTAAGTACACACTCTTACATCGACCGCTCGATAGGGACGCTCGCAATTATAATCGCACCCACTCGTGAACTTGCAAAACAAATTTCCGACGTCTTGGAGGCGCTATTGACACTTAGGCTACGCCCAGACGGCGAACAGGAGAATACGGAGAGTTCTACACGTTATACCCGGTGGTTAGTCTCTGGTTTGCTAAGTGGAGGCGCAACCCGTGCGCACGAGAAGGCGCGTCTACGGAAAGGTGTGCCCATCCTTGTCTCGACTCCAGGTCGCCTACTAGACCACCTGCAAAATACGTCTTCGTTCAACGTTGGAAAGTGCCGATGGTTAGTTCTCGATGAAGCGGACCGCTTGATGGAGCTTGGGTTTGAAGATACTATCAAAGGGATCGTGCAGGGTCTGGATGGGAGGAGGAAGCTTGCGTTCCAAGCTGTTCAGGACGGTAAGACATTTGAGGTTGGGGGTTGGGACTGGGACCGGGAGAGACGGACAATACTCTGTTCGGCTACCATCCGCGAAGACGTGCAGAAATTGGCAGGCACTACTCTAAGACGACCGTTGATAATCAAGGGCCTCGACAAAGAGAAGGCGGAGGATTCGCCTGCATCAAAAAACGACAACGAGCCAGCTACCACCAGCACCGAGAAATTCACTCCCCCATCACAACTCTCTCAAAAATACGTCATCGTTCCCCTCAAGATGCGTCTTGTCGCACTGGTCGCACTTCTCCGCTCATTGCTCGCTCAGACACAAGGTCAAAAAGGTTCGAAAATCATCGTATTCCTCAGCTGCACAGACTCCGTCGACTTTCACTGGCGCTTGCTAGGCGATTCGTCGATGGACGGTGAGAAGGCTGGAAATGCAGAATCCGAAGACGGGGCAGATAGCAAGGCAGATGAATCTGTTGAGGAGGAGAAAGTAGAGGAAGAAAATAAAATTGCTGCACGGTCTCCGCTCCTTCCAGGTGCCTCAATCTTCCGACTTCACGGTTCCCTTCCCACACCAATCCGTCTCGCCTCTCTACGCGGATTCTCAGCCATTCCTTCCTCAAAGTCCAAAAAACCTGCACCCGCGTCGTCCATTCTCCTCTGCACGTCCGTGGCATCCCGTGGTCTCGACCTACCCCTCGTTCGCGCAGTCATTCAATACGACCTGCCAACTGAAGGCGGTGCGACCGAGTACGTGCACAGAGTGGGACGGACAGCACGTGCAGGAAAGGGCGGCGAAGCTTGGAGCATCGTCGCACCCAGCGAATCCGAATGGGTTAAATGGGTGGGAGTGAAGATGAAGGGCGATATAACGGGAGAAAACTCCGACCACGACAAAGTCAACATCACCCTCGAAGGAGCAAGCATCGAAAACGTTTTGGCGAAGGGTTTTGGCGGAAAAGGCTCCGAGTACGAGGCGCGCGCGACAGAAGTGCAGCTTTCTTTCGAGCGGTGGGTTTTGCGGCGCAAAGAGGTAATTCCGATTTGGAGTGAAGTTGAACGTGCGTTGACGCCTTTTTGTAGAACGCTGAACTTGCTCGGAGGGCATTTACTTCGCATATGAGAGCATATGCGACCCATCCCTCGAACGAAAAGCACATCTTCCACGTTCGGCATCTTCACATCGGTCACCTGGCAAAAGCATTCGCGCTGCGTGAGGCGCCGAAGACGATTACTGACGGGAAAAACAAAATATCTAGTAAAGGTCGTGGCTCGCGTCCTACTAAACTTACGAATCATGATGTCGGCGATGCAGAGCAGCGGATGCAAGATGTCGTCCGTGCGCAAGGGCGGCTATCGAGGAAGGGCGGCAAGATGATTAGCAGTGGGACTGATGAATTTCAGATTCCATCAGGCGCTGCCTTGAATTCACTCGTTCATGGCTATTAACCAAGACGTCATACTCTTTTGTAGGTTATAATATTTTGAGATGCTATGTTACACTACAAAATAGATGTCAAGATACAGTCTCGTCAAACGACTGCCGCTCAAGAGCAGAGAACTCGAGGTTGGAGTCCCACTATATATACAATACTTGTAGGAACTTGCAGACAACATTTTTATGATAGGTGGTGAATACATAGTACCACAGGATACTGCCTTTATTTACATACTGGTGGCGCTAATCAAAATCCTTCGCTGTAGATCAAATTATCTGGCACATGACTAATATTTCCGTCGCTCACTCGCTTAGCAGCAGCACTCAGGCCTCTTAGGCCTCAGGCTCACTTCAGGTTGCGGATGCAAGTTATCGAGCAATTACACTTACCATGCGGTCCATGCCATGATACAGCAAAAGTTCATGATGTGATCATGCATCCAATATGGTCGACGCCGGATGGTACGTACGCGTATACCAGCGTATGCGTAGGTCTGGAATTCAACTTTGACATTCTCCAAGTCGAATTTTGGTTAGTACTTACCCTAAACTTCCTGTGCAACAGCCTCGTGCCCTCCGGCTGGTTGGACCTGCAGCCAGACAAGCGCCCGCTTATCTTTTCAACTCAATTGCAAAGTGCAACCACGAGCCATCTATCGACTTTGAATACAATCACAATCAACCATCCATTCTATCTCAAGCATCCTGTGATATCTCTGTTGCTTGATCGTTTCACCATCACCACTTAAACCCTTTTGATTTCAAACGAAGTTACAACTTAGACATCGACTGATTCGACTCCTCAATTAACGCCGTATGTCGTCCTCACTGTGACATCCATCCCCATCGTGATTTCTAATTACACCGATGAACTGCACTAGTGTTTCCCCGACTTGACCTATTCCAATTCCCATTTTGTGTCGCATTCTCACATCAACGTCGATAAGCGACTGAGTTCGATGTAAATACATCCTTCCCTTATCACCTCTCTCGCTCTCTGACCCGACTGACAGACCTTCTAGCAATGACAGAAGGAATTTGGGAGAAGCTGTCCCAGGTCGCTGTCCTGGGTGCTAAATATGACTCCCCTGAACGCCAGCCCCATCCGAAATGTTTGAAAGGGACCCGAGTGGACCTTCTCACATTCATCTGCGGATTGTTGGACAAGCGAGAGAAGAGTCAGATCATTTGGCTGCATGGCACGGCGGGCGTCGGAAAGTCTGCCGTGGCGTTCACTGTGGCCGAGAGAATGAAAGGTTTGAAGGTGATAGAGGAGACGAATATTGAAACAAGGCTCGCGGGAACATTCTTTTTCTCGCGCAAGCACACGAAACGCAGCACGACCGGTCATTTCTTTGCGACCCTTGCTTACCAGCTTGCGAGCAATTTTCCCAGCGTTGAGAAGGACGTGAACGAAGCTATCCGCAAGACTCCTGCGGTTCTAGACTCCAGCGAGTCTCTTCGCGACCAAATGATGGCGTTATTTCGTCGACCTCTCTGGCACCTGCAATTCAGGCTGCGCGAGTGTCCGCCTCCGGTGTTTGTTGTTGATGCCCTCGATGAATGTCAACCTGAAACACCTGAAATGGTCGCCGATCTGATCTCACTCCTCGGTGAAGCTCTTCGTGATCCTGAACTTCCCGTGTTCCACATTCTGCTCACCAGTCGCTTGGAGGAACATATCCGCAAAGCCATTCAAAAAGAAGAGATGCGCACGCTAGTGTACGAGATACCGGTGAACACTTCTGGGGAGGGCGTTGCTGGCACCATTTCATTAGACGGCGAAGATGTGGACAATGACATCTGTACATTCTTGCAGCATTCCTTCACGGAGTTGCGAAATCGCCATCCTGATTTCCCTCAGCCCACTGCGGATAAACTTACGCGGCTGGCGAACCGAGCTGGCAGACGTTTCATCGTGGCATCTACAATGATGAAGTTCGTCGATGACGGATATAATGACCCCCGGGATCGCCTTAAGCTAATGCTTGAGCTGACCAATGAACTGCTACCTGGGACGGAAGTGCACGAGCTATACAACCGCATCCTCTCCACCTGTTCGGACCCCAATCGGGCATACCAGCACTTGTCCATTGTTGCTGCCCTCGCAGACCCTCTGCCAATCTCACAGATTTCGAAGCTCCTTGGTCCTGGTCAAGGCAGCGATGTCGCGACCACGCTGAAACAGCTACGTTCTTTCATGGATATCCCCGCTGACAGCAGCCATCCCGTGAATATCTACCACTCGTCCATTCGAGACTACGCTTCAAACTCCTCGAACTGCAGCCTCCCTGGATTACAACCCATCCTACCACATTCCCTGCTAGCGTATTCGTCTTTCCGCTTGATGATTGAAGACATTCCAGAACACACTGCTCTCATGGATGCGCTCTTAGAATTGAAGTCACAGAATCAGGCTATGCAACCCCATGACCCCCGAAACTTGCAACAATCGTTAGCCTTCATCGTTGAGCCACCAGAGCCGCTGACAGTTCTCATGGGACTGTTATGGCTTCGGGGAGCTCGCGGGTCGGGTTTGCGGTCCTGGTTAGGGACTTTGGATGGACGTGCGTGGCTGCAGACCCAATGTGGGGAAGACTATTTGCAGACACCGAAGGGGGAAGACTGGCTGCAGACCCAGGCCGGGAGGGATTGGTTGCAGACCCACGTGGGACACACTTGGTTGCAGAAAGAGAGAGGGCGAGGGTGGCTGCAGAGTGGGCCAGGGTGGCTGTGGACTCAAAGACGGGGACAAGTCGCTGGAGACTCTGGCGAGTATATACCATTGGAGATGTGGAGCGGGAAAACTTCGCTGGAGACCATCAATGGGCAAGGCTGGCTGCAGACCAAGACAGGGCAAAAATGGTTGCGGACGCAGGAAGGGGGGGAGTGGCTGCAGACCGAAACTGGAGGAGAGTGGCTGCAGAGCCGACGTGGGGAAGAGTGGCTTCAGACCCCGACCGGACAATTGTGGCTGCAACAGACCCCGAGTGGCCGAGAATGGCTGCAGACCCAGAGGGGACGAGAGTGGCTGCAAACTCAGAGCGGCCAAGAATGGCTACAGACCCTGAGTGGACGAGAATGGCTGCAAACACATGGTGAGTGGCTGCAGACCATGCCTGGACGAGAGTGGTTACAGACTCCGAGTGCGAGGGAGTGGCTGAAGACACACAGCGGGAGGGAGTGGATAGAAACACACAGCGGGAGGAAGTGGCTGGAGACACACAACGCGAGGGAGTGGCTGGAGACACACAGCGGGAGGGAGTGGATAGAGACACACAGTGGGAGGAAGTGGTTGGAGACACTCAATGGGAGGGTGTGGCTGGTAACACCCAGCGCGAGGAAGTGGCTGGAGACACTCAACGGGAGGGAGTGGCTGGAGACACCCAGCGCGAGGAAGTGGCTAGCGACACCCAGCGGGAGGAAGTGGCTGGAGACACCCAACGGGAGGAAGTGGCTGGAGACACCCAGCGGGAGGGAGTGGCTGGAGACACCCAGTGGGAGGGAGTGGCTGGAGATACCCAGCGCGATGGTGTGGCTGGCGACACCCAGTGGGAGGGAGTGGCTGAAGTCACTCAGCGGGAGGGAGTGGCTGAAGTCACCAAGCGGGGGGGAGTGGCTGAAGTCACCCAGCGCGAGGGAGCGGCTGCAAACACGCAGCGGGAGGCAGTGGCTGGAGACACCCAGGGGGAAGGAGTGGCTGGAGACAGCCAGCGCGAGGGAGTGGATGGAGACACTCAACGGGAGGGAGTGGTTGGAGACACCCAGCGCGAAGGAGTGGATTGAGACACTCAATGGGAGGGAGTGGTTGGAGACACCCAGCGCGAAGGAGTGGATTGAGACACTCAATGGGAGGGAGTGGCTGGTAACACCCAGCGCGAGGAAGTGGCTGGAGACACTCAATGGGAGGGAGTGGCTGGAGACACCCAGCGCGAGGGGGTGGGTGGAGACACCCAACGGGAGGGAGTGGCTGGAGACACATAGCGGGAGGGAGTGGCTAAAAACACGACATGGGATGGTGTGGCTGGAAACACCAAGCGCGAGGGAGTGGCTGAAAACACAGCACGGGATGCCGTGGCTGGAGACACAAAGTGGGATTGAGTGGCTTGACACCCGGAGTGGGTACGACCGCCTACAGACTCTAAATGAATTGCAGACTCCAATCGGGCATGCATGGCTGGACACCATTTACGGGCGAGAATGGCTCCTAACCCAGAGTGGGCAAGAGTGGCTACTGATTCAGAGTGGGCAAGATTGGCTCCCGACCCTAGGAGGGCAAAAATGGCTGGATACTTTGGGCGGACGAGAGTGGCTGCGGACCCCAGGTGGGCTGCAGACTGGACATGGCCAAGAATGGCTACAGACAAAAAGTGGGCAAGAGTGGTTGCTGAGCCAGAGCGGACGAGAGTGGCTGCCGACCATGGGTGGACGAGAGTGGCTGCAGACCGAGAGTGGACGAGAGTGGCTACAGACCCCCCATGGTCAAGCATGGCAGTTGACTCCTACGGCGTCTGTCTGGATGACAATGGAAGACTTTTCGAGCACATTGGAAACAATCAATGAGTGTGCAATCATCCCACGATTGCCTTTCCCGCCAGCTTTTCGAGTAATCCAGGAGTTTAAGAGCTTACCAGATTTTTTGATGTTTCCGGCATTCCTGTCATTAAGGCCCCATGATCATTCTACCTCTGCATCCCTACAAGATTGTCCAGACATCGAGGTCATTCATACTATGACCGCGTTCACGATTTTCGCAAACGAAGCACGGGATCAAAGTCGATTATCTTCGGACGCCTTGAAGTATGCATGTCAAAACTGGGTCTTCCATCTCTCGCGAGCTCCGAATCCAACGGACCACCGGCTCAACTGTGCATTCAAGGTCTTCTGGGATCGCCACCTCCTCTTCTGGCTTGAAAGGCAATGGTGTTTGAAGGGCTTGCGGTCCTGTCTCCTTATGTTATTCGAAGGGCAGAAACTTGCACAGGTGTGTTTTTAGTGATTTTCGTGTATTCGGCACCTGACCTACGCACAAAGGAACGCCTCATCGAAGTTACAGGGTCATCTCAGTCCCAGGTCTGAAACTGTCGATTTTATGTACTAGATGTCATGCTGTCTTGTTATCTTGCATTGTTCACATCGCTTGTGTATTTTCAGAATTTGTAGTGTTGAAGACAAGTTGAAGATTGAAGATTGAATTTTGATGTCGGGACTCGCAAGTTGGCGCCGGTAAATTATGGAGATGCCTAGTGGTCCTATTTGCAAGTTGGAGATAATAAAGAAAGAACGACTACTACAGGAAACTAAGACCAAGCATGTCACGGAATTTGGTAACAAATATTTACCGTCTTCAAACAATGGGATCTAGGTCCTCGACGTTGAGAACAGGTCTCTCATTTCGCACGTGAAATAGTTTCTTCTCTGCAACGATTCCCTTATAAGCCATCTGGAACTTAGTTTGCATATCCATCGTGCTGCCGGGAATTTTCTAAATAAATTGTCCGACCTCTAACACCGCGCATTTGAGAGCGTCGATGTCCCGGGTATGATGATCTGGTGAAGAAGGCTCTAGCTTACCGCGCAATTGCATGCCTTTTTTAGGAGCAACCTAAACAAGACTGCACATCAATCATTGCATGACGCTGGGTAAGTCTTGACTGACGTGATCTCGCTTCTCGGCCTGCCCAACTCCTCAAGCTTTTCATGAGACTCGGTGTTGAAAGGGTCTTTCGTCTTTATTTTGGCAGCATGAGTTAGCACAATGCCTTGTTCCAGCCAGAAGGTGGGGCAATGGTCCGAGGAAAAGAAGACGATAATAACTTGGACGCCATTTAGAGGACTGCATCTCCATGAGGCATGTCGTGGATATCGCATGGAGTTGTGCATCTACAGCAGAGCCTGAACGTCGCCAAACGTGATATCGATATGCATACTGAATCGTGCGAGCTGCCAAGGCCTGCTCTTCCGATGGCCCGTTGGAGCGAAGAGACTCGTCTGGCACAAGGTCGAGGGATGTGAGAGATGTGACCGCTTCGTCCATATCTTCCATGTCATCAGTGGCCTCAGAATCAACAATCACTGAAACTTCTTTCTCCATTACTTCCTCTCTATCCGCCTCCTGGGGAACCAGATTTAAGTTCTCCTTCTCGGCCGGATGAATCTCTACACCATCTTTAGGACGCTGCATGCGAGGCACGAAGGCAGCTGCCTCCGCCCTCAGCATAGACTGTACAGCAACCATATGCAAAGAAAGAAGATAGGGAATGTCACTAGCCTTTTCATAAACCAGTTGTCGCACCAACGAAGTTTGAGTAGATTGCCTCGTCTTGTGAACAAGTTTGACAAGACCGCTCGAAGCCTTGTTGGTATCGAGCACAGCTCGCAGGTAGCCATCCAAGCGAGGCATTCCTCTGCCGGGCAAAAGCGCCATGTGCTCAACAACGTCGTTCACGAGTTTTTGGTAGTATGCAGGGCGCTGAGGTTCATTGCTTGCGTGCAGATGAAGCATGATCGTATTCACTTTGCACCTCGCCATAGGGTATCGTGTGTTGTGAGCGACTGTTACAATAGATCAAAAGTTGTGGGATGACGAAGAGCTGGAGCAGGCACACCAAGGCAGAGAGTTCTGCAACTGTAGATGTGTAGAGATGAATAGCTTATTATTATATAGGCGGTTAATTGGACTTACAGCCGGAAGATGAAAATATTGCGAAGTAACGGTGTGATATTGGTAATATGGGCAAGCTACAAAGAATCTGCTGATTCGTGAGCATTGGTTTGCGTCTGCGGAGCGTGCAAAAGTTCTACCCATAGCACTACCCACGCGCAATCTCCGTATTAGATTCCCTATCGCACCCAAGAGCGAGCTTATTGACTCCGGTTCGACGTTTTTTTTCACAGAAAACTTATGGGGGAAGATCAACCAGTCGGAATCATGCGACAAATCCACAAGTCAAGGCCTAAATTGCGGACCAAAGCCATCCGTTATAGACCTAGAAGACGGGGAGAAGATAGAACATATCTAAGCGACAAGTCCACGCATCCAAGACCTAGGCATCAATTTTGTCAATCATGAACCTCTGCGGGACCGCCTCGCGCCATTCCACAACAACACCGTCGACTCCGTTCTTCCGCAAAAGGGCAAGGATCTCTTGGGAGACCTCATGGGCGGTATCGGTGGAGGTAGAACCAGGAATAACCATCAGTGAACCCGTGAGGAAAGTAGATAGCAATAAATAACAATATATAGTACATAATCACAAGAACTAGCATAATTTTGCTATCGACAATCACATTGTTATGTTTGGCCTTATAGAGGAAAGACGCGTCCCTGATTATCGTATAAAATTTTATGAAATGCCATAACGAAAGGGAGGTTCACAACTCCGAAGCATCAAATAATTGACATAAAAATATAATGCTTTACAATGCTTTATCTAATTGCAAAATTTACATGATATCTGTCAGAATGATACTACCTGGAGTAAGTTAGACAGAACTACCAAAAGCGCCAGCATGACAGATTGCCTGCAACAACCTGCCATTTTGTCACCAGCACCAAATTATTCTCACCCTCAGCACTCATTTTGTGAAGCAAATTAATTTTATTTATATTTAAATACTACATATGTATCTACAGGACAAAAAGAAAACAGGGAAAGATAGTGGAGATATGAATGAAAGGAGGGACCAAGGCCAACAAGGAACCACGAAAAAAGGCCAGGAAGGAGCCACAAGGAAAGGAAAGGGAGGGACCACCATGAACAGCCAGAGGAAGGAACTATGAGGAAAGGGAGGGCCACCATGAACGGCCAGGAAGGAACCACAAGGAAAGGAAGGGCCACCACGAACGGCCAGGAAGGAACCACGAGGAAAGGCCAGGGAGGAACCACCACGAACGGCCAAGGAGGTACCACAAGGAAAAGGCCAGGGAGGGACCACCACGAATGGGAGGAACGAAGATGCTGAGTCGAGAGGTGGTGGTAGTAGCAGTGAAAGAAGGATTGAAAGGAACTTGCGTGAAAATTTCTGTCCTGCACAAACAATGACAAATCAATTTCAACCACTTGCGCTGGTCACATGATTTGAGGTTGTCCAAAAATTCTAAGGTAAAATTTGAGGCTAAGGTGATAGTCATGTGCATGATCTTGTAATTCACACAATATTTGAACCGATCTATATAGTTTTGTAAGTCAAACATAAATGAGGTAATATGATGTTGCTCAACAAACGGTACCTAATTACACTATCATACCTCGCTGGTTGAAACTCTCATAAGAATATAAATTAGGTTACAAGTGCTAACGGTTCTTTCCACGATAAAGTCTTATATCACTTGGTAGTTTAAAACATAAATGAAGGGATATGGTATGAGTCAACAAATATAACTTAACTATACTATTGCATATTGATTGCTGCAACGGCGCAATGTTGTAATCTTGTTGCGAACTCCTCATGGTAAAATGAATTTTCAGAGATTCATGGCTATGTACCGATTGCCGTATACATAGGTATATTCAGCTGTAGCATAATGATATCATCTTATACTTCCCACGGCTACAAAATCAAGGACTCATGAATTCACTGATGACACTGACCCATATGACAACAGGACCAAGACCCCCCTTCGCCTCCTCTCCCAGTGGTGCGTGGGTGAAGAAGCGGGCAAGGTCGATGGACGACCAGTCGATCTTCTGAGCCTTGATAAGGTCACAAATCTGGGGAGCAACAGCGTCCCAAACACCATTGAGCGGGGTGTTGAAAACTCCGCGGAGCGACTTGACAGGGATGTGGGCATGTCTGCCAATGAGCTTGGGGAAGCACCAGTCCCTGTAGGTATAATGCATTAAGTCTGCTTACTACGAGACACAAGTATTGCATTAACTATGCTCGTTAGCATGTTTAGTTATGCATCAGAGCATGCTAACTAGCAGAGCTACATTAAGCCTAATAGCATACCGTGTGTAGTAAGCTCGGTCAATTTTCAGTGAGCTCGGTCAATTTTCCAGTATGGTTCTCGGCCACTTAACAACTTGCGATCGAGCATTCAATGAAAGCTGGTGACATTGATCAATGATATGTAATACAAGGTACCCTACAGAAGCCCCAGAAGATGTGAACTGTTGATTGGCAGGCACAGCACTGAAACTAAGAAATGTCAGGTATGGTCAGGTCTGGTAATGACGGCTCGGATAACTGAGGCATTGGACTGACAGACGAGAGTGGTGAAAGATAAGGTAACCACAGCACTCGAAAATGCTCTGCCAGCCTGTGACGGAGGTTAGCTTGTTGCGTAGCATATGCCTGCAAACCTTCAGCATCTGCGGCACATTCCCCAACATTATGCCTTCCCCGCTCCTCCCACCATGCTGCCTGCCAGGTGAAAAACTGAAGCACTCTGCGCATCTCTTCCCTCAGCAACTCCACCTCTTCTGACCATCGCAGTGCCCTTGCATGGCTTTTGCACCACTCAATACGGACACCTTGCAATACATCAGCACGTGAAATTATGAATCAAACCAAAATACTGACCATTGTTGTCACCTTCCTCTCCGCAATCAACGCCATCCATCATCCAAATCCACGACACTTGACGTCTCCCTTCTCCAGTAGCGAACAGATTTATGAGGGGCTTGACGTCATCATCTGCCAACTCCTGCCAATGGCCCCGCCAATCTTTCTTCTTCACCACTGTAGCGAGGGCCTTGAGAGCCACCCATGCGGACCTGTATCGCTTCATGCATGCAGTACGCCTCCCATGGACCTGAGCAAGAGCATTCTGAGCTTGTGTGTTCGGACCTTGACCACGAATCCATTCTCTCTTAAATGTCAGTAAAGAACAATGAATCCGCAAGCACTGGCAGATCTCTTCGAGTGTGTCATGGGCCTGAGCGTACCGTAGTTCCCACTTGTTATTTTGCAGGCGCGGATTGCATGGTTTGTTTCTTAGCTGGGAAGGTAGCCATAACTTCATACATTCAGCATTCTCTTGATCTCCACACACTGTCTGACTGATGAGGCTTTGTACAGCAGGGAGGTAGAGGACCTGGGCACGTCTCCATGTCTTGATTTTATGGCGGAGTGAATTCCGGATTCGCATAACGCTGCCTTTTTGGGTATCGGTAGCATGGAGGCCCAAGGACTCGACAGCAGTGGTCAGATGACGCCTTACAAATTTGATTAGCGTATTCATATGGTACGAGGGAGATTACTCACTGTTCCTCTTCAAGGTCTATGCCGGAGGCGATGAGCACACTGGGCGAGATTTCCGGATGTAAAGATGCATTGATGCCTCGCTGAAGTTCCTCAGCCTCCAGCTCAGTGAGCTTAAGCCGTGCGCCTGCTTGTGTGATGGCTACATAGTATTGTTAGTGCGAGATCAGTAGAGTACAATATCATACTCACACATAGCTTTGGCCTCGAGCGGATTAGGAATAGTCGTGTCATTAGGGTTATCTTCCCAAGTCTCCATTTCTGCCAACCACGCAGAACAATGCTCAGGAGTGATAGCGGTGTTGAATTCTTCGAATGTCGTTTCGTGTTCGGCCTTCTCGGCAAGGGCATCTTTGATCTTGAGGAGGAGAGAGGCGCCCAACCCAACCGTCTTCTTCCAGTTCCAATCGCCAAAATGGTCGTCTAGGGTGTCACGACGGCAACCAGGGCCCATAGCTTTCATACTCAAGGCCACAGGGTTGATGTTCGACCACCCTCTCTCTGGGGCCTTGCCATCTGTGCGGCCGACGAAGCGTGTGACACTGTGAAGTTGAAGGAGAATGTTGTCTGACACTTTGCAATATGTGCGGGGAGGTGAAATTTTGGCACAAAAAAGTGAATGACCTTTGCAAGATAGTCCAATCCGTGGGATTGAGGAAAGGACTTCATCCGAGTCCAGAGATTTTTGTGCCATTGGCAGGCAATGTCGTATGACACATTCAACATTTGGAGCTGTGTACCGCGCAATGTTGAAAAAAAAAGATAGTCCATGTTGATATATCTGTCAAATGTGTGATGAGACATGACATGAACGAGCACAGAGAGAAAATAACATACTTCTCACCTTTCTGCAAATCCCCGACTCCATTTGGTCGTTTCATATTGTGACGGGCGCAATCGACTGTGCCTACGCCTGTCGCTGCAAGCCCTTGAGACAGCTTCGTGTCTGCCATATTGACGGCATTGTGACTTGAACACGTGCTTTTCTGCAGGACAGTGTAAGCAAACATGAAATCAGATATCATTAATCAAGCCGGCCACGTACTTCTTGCTCATCTCCAAGGTGTTGGGCCAGAAAGGCCTTGTATTCATTCTCCTCCACGAAATATGCCCAGCCTTCTGAAAGACTGGGGTCAGTCTCATCACTCGATACATTACGTCTCTTCAATCGAAAGTTCGCATCAATTGCAACAAATATTGCGTATAGCCACCTGAACATGTCAGCCTTCAATCAAAACTGTCAAATTCCCACCACCCACCGTTTGGCTTTCACAACATTCTCCCAACCATGAGGCAGATTCTTACCCGGCTGCGTGCATGCTGGGCAGAGAACAGCACACTCTCCAGGTGATGTAGCATCGACACCATGTGAGTCGTGACCGCGACCAAAGCGCTTCACCATCTTCAGGTGGCGCCATTCACGCACCATCCTCATGAATGCTTCGTAGCGATCCTGAATCTGAAGGTTAGCATTCCAGAAGATGCGAAATCGTAAAGAGCTTTGTTACCTTGCGTTTCGACAGGCCTGTGTTGTCTGTCAGGTGAACTAATGTGTGATAGAATTTGTGTGCAGAAGCCTTGGATTCAAATGAAAGGATATGATACTGTCGTAGTACTCGAAATGTTGCTGTGGTCCTGGGGTTGGTTGATGTTGATGGGAACCATCGATTTCGGAGTAGTTGCTTTGTGTGTGTTTGTGCCGTCTCGCAACCACAAAAGTCAAGTCCAATCTCGTATATACCGTCCGTATCTATGAGAACGAAGTCGTCATTGAAGGCTTGATGGGGAAGGATACAGTGCTGGCCAATGGGATGTCCAAGTTGAATATGAAGGCCCAATTTCTTGAGTGATGTTCTCTGAAAATAAACTCCGGTCCACTCATTGATGCGATGAGTGGGCAAGCACAAGTGGTTTGTGACAGTGCAGTCGTGACAATACAGTTGTATATCATCACAGGTTTCGCATCGAAAGAGTGCGGGAGCAGTGCCACACCCTGCGCATGTATCACCAACGTCTCCGTGGCCGTTGAGTCGAATCATCTCCGAGAGGTAGGAATTGCGCTCACTTAACCAAGTGAGGAGGGGGTTGTCCTATGTGAAATCAGTAAAATATATCAAAACATGAGGGTAATCAAGACTGACACCAGCTGTTCGCTTCCATGTTTGAGGCGAATCCACATCCTCACTGTCGGTGATGATCTCATCCATGGTGAAAGAATCATCAAACTCAGCAAAGGCAAAGGATGCATCGTCCAAATCGTCCAATCCTGCAAGTGAGGTGTTCTGGATGGCAGCTGAACTCCGTCCGATGACATGACGGCCCGACACATGTATCGTTCCATCTCGATGCGAAGCAAATCTCACTGAAGTATGCACAGGTTTATGGGGCTGTGAGGTGGATGGTGGTGTATACATATTCAATCTGGAACGTTTCCGGCCATTGACTTGTCGAAAAGTCCAAGACGAAGGAATGGCCTGTGTGTGAGATGGACGCTGAGAGGTGTGATCTAGTAGTAGTGTCAGATATAGTTCAAGCAGTGAATGCATCTTACCTTGAGCAGAGGCCATCTATGGTCTTGCACGAATGCTGGCAACACGCGCTGGTCGATTGTGAGCTTAGTGATCTCTAGAATAGCCCAAGTTTGACTAGGGAATATGGAGTCGGTCAGATGTGTAGTGTCACGGACTCACGGTAAAGGGCTGATGTGCAACTCACGTGATGATTTTAGAACTAAACAAAATGTCATGCCATGGGCCTGTTTAAAGTGCAAATGTAATGCACATGTAATGCTGGAGTGATGCTAACACGTGTAGTGACAGTTGTTTACTCACTAATGACACATCATAATTTTAGAACTAAACAAAACTCAGTCACTCAGTGCGCCTGTTTGAAGTGCAAATGTAATGTACATGTAATACGGTGTGATGCTAATACGTGTAGTGACAGATGTTTGCGTGACAGATGTTTGCGTAACAGATGTTTGAACCTCAATATTCAACGCTCATCGATACTCATCGAACACAGAATCAATGAGTTGCCACACAAGAAGGCCAGGCTACTCGTCTTGCATCACCCAATATAGACGGCTTTCAAAGTACAAAAAGCCAGAGTTTTATGCAGGTACATATCAATTCTTAATATCCATCCTCTCACTAATCACAATCCCAACAATGATCTCCACGAGCACGATAAATGCCGTGCCTGCGGCGCCCATCGCTGGTGGTAATGGTGCTGGTAAGTAACAGTGTTCTCAAGTGCACTCTGCTCCTTACTGGTGTTTGTTCTTTAGATAATCTTGCTGCGCTCTTGGCGCAAATGAACATTACTGGGCAGGACGCATCCAAGGTGACCTCGACAATTCATGATGTAGTCCAGAATGCAGTGGTCGCTGCTGTTTCTGCCATCAGTGTTGTTTCAACCACTGTGGTCTCAGACCCGCTCACTCCAACACCAACTTCAGTTCTTGCCCCGACCACTGCGGCCTCAGCCCCGCTTACTCCAGCGCCGACTCCAGTTCCCCCGACGTCAACTGCGGCCTCAGCCCCGCTTACTCCAGCGCCGACTCCAGTTCCTATTGTCAATATGCTGCCTGTGTCAGCTCCTGCTCCCCTCGTTGTAGTGCCGACCCGTGGAGCTGTGGGCTTAACCCAGACTCCAGTTAAAGTGACCTATGATATGCCGGCGGCAGATGCTACAGGACCCTTCTACTGGGTGACCCGTGGACGCCGCATCAGCATCTTCTCCACTTGGTAAGTGATTTGCATTTTTTATTGGAATTCCTGGCTGATTCGCCAACAGGCAGCAGACCTCCTCCCATGTGATTGGCGTGAGCAGGGCCTCCTTTTCCAAGGTCCGCTCAGTAGCCGAAGGCATGCAGTTGATGGAGAAGGCGATCAATCGTGGTGAAACGGAGTTGTTGCCTTGATGTGTCATTTGTTGTAACCATTGTAGGCTATAGCGTTGATTTCTTGAAGACTTCTCGAATTGTTTGTACCATGTACAATAAAAGCTGAACGTCTTGATTTTCTTTGTGGTCTGAATCTCAATGAAAACTGTATGTAGACTTCTTTCGAAATTCTATTTGTTGTGAATCACAATCAGAACTGTATGCTGAGTCGGAGATTTATAGCAGAATTACTATGATAGCCCAGGCCGAGGATGTGAGCTAGGCCACGGATTCATTCTCATTGGGATTCACAATATAGAATTCTGATGAGCTAGCTCATCGGAATTCATTGTGAATATCCCAATGAGAACGAATCCGCGGCCTAGCACACATCCTCGGCCTGGGCTATCATAGTAATTCTGCTATAAATCTCCAACCTCCAATGAACTGGTATACTGGTATTCATGGGCCGTCCTCGATTGTATAAGACTCAAGAGGAGCGTAGTGAAGCTGCACGCAGGTATAGGAAGAAATACTATGAGAGGTGCATGAATGTTCACTTGGTTGGAATTGTACTACTTAGTAGATGTTGTAAAGGAGTAAGGAACGGATTGCCGCTGCTAAGCAGAGTTTACGCAAGAAAGGCAGCACAGTGGTGGAGCCTGAGTATGTACGAATGTCTTCAATCGATGTATCCAGACCTCACTGACTTATGTCCTACTACAGAATTGATATTGAAAATGTCGAGTCCGATGTTGAGTCTGAGCCCGTTCAGCTGACCAATGCTGCAACTGTGTATGAGCTTCTTTGAATGCAAGTACCCAAACCTTACTGACTTATTCGTGCTGCTAAAGAATTGATATTGACGATGTCGAGTACAAGCTTATGAAGTGCGCTCAACTGGACAAACTCTGCTATCAATTAGCGAATAACTTTCTACACGATCAACAAGCAGTTTTGGATGCCCTATCGGAACGGCTTGAGACATTGGTGCATGTTGAAGAGTACCTGCGGTCTGCAACTTCAGTTCATCATGATCACATCGAAGGTTTCCTGTGCCGCTGTAAACTCGTTGTCGCAGCTACTGAGGAACTATGGTGCTATGCAGCTGTGAGTGAGGTAGACGAGGACTTAGTGTCAAAGTACAGCCGTCAATCTCTGTTATGTCAGACCTTACTGTAATTACTTAGGAAGTACGTGACTATCACATGCAAATCACATGTGACATGATTATGGGCGAGCTTCCATGAAGCACATAAATACAAATCACTTCTCATCAAAATCGCTCCTTACCCTTACAATCCACCTTGAACCATCGTACGAGTCCTTGTCTTTCACATCAACCTTTAGCTGACATGTCAGTGATATAGATGTCAGGCTGTTCCACTTACCAACGTTCTTTATGGAGGGTACAGGACGAATTTCTCCAAGCAAACTCAGACCAATACTTTGAACTCTTGAGTGGACGCGCCAGTCACCAAGAGTTCATCCAATTCTTCCACGATATTTTTTATCGGTGATTCAGACTTTGGCCACCGGAGCGAGCCCTGTTCCCTGGCCTGCGCAAAAATTCACCATGGTCAGCGGAGCAAGCAGTTGCAGTAATGAGGTCTGTGTGGAGGATCAAGGAGGTAAGTGGAGCACACCTCGATTCGATGCAGTCCACTGATTCAAACTTCAGTGGATCCATCGATACTATGGGTGGCCTGGATCATGATGCAACATGCACATGTAGATCCCTTGAGCTTTGGGATTAGCTATAATTAGTTGCCATATGCAAATCCCTCATCGAAGTCTTTGAATAAATATACACTGTCTGAGAGACATGTACCTACCTTCAAACAGACCAACCCCATATCCATGTCGCAGATAAGAATACTCTCGCGTGAGCAGCGTCAAATGCTCAAGTCATTTATACCCACCTTTAATACTGCAAAGAATGGGTCAAGAGACGAATTAGAGACATTCTGGGATCGTGTCGAAACTCAATTCTTCACCACATGGCCGGAACGCGCTGTTCATTATCCAGAGACACCGATGACTGAAGAGTTGAGTGACCTGGGGCAGACAATAGTCAATTGCGCGATCATGCTTAGGTGTCGAGTACGTTGTTCTTGTTACGACAAACGGTCGTGTGCGACTAGGATGATCTAAACAGCGACAACCACGACAGTGGTACCGAGTGCTGAGAGTCGTCGGCCTTTACAGACAAGCAAAGGTTGCATACTCGAACGTAGCTCATGGTGGTTAATGAGGGGTTACGCTGAGATGATAGCAGGGTTTACAGACAGTGAGAGGCGTCACTGAAGGTACGAGTCGATGTCGAGCAGGTAGCTTTAGCGGGACAAGGAGTTCAAGGGTAAACCTAGTAAGATTAAAGTAAGGAACGTCTACTTTAATCTTCGACCTTATATAAGGCTACTCTTCGTATCTAAGCTCAGCCTAAAGCTGGGTTCTAATCTGCTTATCTACATGAGTCAGAGATAGCAGTCCATGAGGCGGGCTTCTATCGTAGATAGGGTCCATGCGGTACCCTTCTATCAGTACATGAGGCAGCGCGTGGCTTGCCTTCTATCTGTCCATGAGGCAGCACGAGGCTTACCTTCTATCTCCTATCAGTCCTCGAGGCAGCACGAGGCTCGCCTTCTATCTTGATAACATTAATAGGTCTTCTAGACCTATGTCGTCATGTATCATCACGTGCAGGTCCAGACCGCTTATCTAAGCCGGCAGTTGCCGCTTATCGTCTATCGTCATCTATCGTTATCTGTCATCATCTGTCAGTCACAGAGCTAGTGAGGCTCCGGTATCGTCTATAGAGCTGGTGAGGCTCCGGTATCGTCTATAGCCGTGCGGGTGGCAGAGGGCTGTCTGCCGGCGGGGGACTCGTGCCATGTTACTGTAACAGTTCTCACAGTTGTGGCCCGAGACAGTTCTGACTGCATTGTTCGAAGCGCATATGATGGTTCATACACATGAATCATTTGGTCAGAGAGTCAATGATACGTCCAACTACCCTGCAGAATTATTTTGCAGTGAAAAAACATAAACGGTGTGTTCGGACCTTGAGATACACATATTGTTCGAGGCTGAATTTTACACATTAGAACATGAGAGTTCATTGGCAAGTGCAGGAGTGCGAAACTGCATGTGGTACCTACCTTAGTCCTAGTCTTGTAGCTGTGATTGTAACTAGTGCGCGCAACTTGAGTATTTGACCATATTGTCCTCAAAATACCTTGTTTTTGGATGGAAAAGACCGGGATGGAAAGATGAGAACCTGGTTCCTGCATCAAAAAAGAATAAACGTACAATATTCTCAGAGTTCTAGTTACCTTACTTGCTTACCACCCGCTTTGCCAGTATTTCGTCATGTCACGTCACGTCTACTCGTTTGACAAAACCATCCTACAGCGTGCGTGATAAATTTCAAACAAATCATGGGCGTTTGCTCACCTTACAGGTTCATTTAAAGGATGCCACAGAAGGTATGGACCGAGGAACAAGAAGAGTTCTTCAAAAGTCACTTGCCAGAATTTCGTACACGTACCATGTCAAAGAATTACACGGATTTTTGGTCGGAGGTTGGAATCAAGTTCTTCGAGCATTGGCCGGAGAGAAATCCGATCTTTGGCGACTTGCCAGAAAGTGAATTTACGCCCGAACAAAGCACTGCCCTTGCAGACGCTGTTGCAGAACGTAAAAAAGTGAGTGAGCTTCAACAAATCACGATGAATACATACTGATTGAATTATAGCAGATTGCCACCTGGTTTAGATGGCAAACCAACCCATTGCGCCTGGGCCGCAGGAGCGGCATTAGGGGGGTGCTCAAATTTGACACGGTGTTAGCTGGTGGTGTCGCTGATGAAAGGCACTCGAGCTCCCCAGAAAATGGACATCTACTCAAACAAGTTCTACAGCAAGAAGATCAAGCATGTTGCGGACGAGGCCATTCGAGTGCAGAGTGTTACTGAGCGAGGTCCAAAATTGAACAAGCGCCGTGATGTTGTACGTCAGATGTATGAGAAGGAGAGTAAAGAAGTCAAGGCAAAAATTGAAAAGAAGTACTGCCAAAAGCAAGGCGAGGTATGCGAAGGCTCGCAGACACTTGAAATCTGGCAAGTCACCGAAAGTTGACGATACCACCAAAATAAAGTGCGTACCTTTTGTGCGTGTGTAGTACATGACTCTCAATGGACAAACTAGGGCAATTCATGAACTGGGGCCCATGTTGGACCGCATCCTCCAGTATCTTGCGCATATAACTGGCGGGTGGAAGTTCTCTGTTTTGATGGGGGGGCATGATCCAAGCACAGGCGAAGTGTCTGTCTTCAAGTAAGTGATAATAATAATAAGAACCAACGAGTCACGGCACTGATGTTACTTATTACCAAGTTACCATGTTGGGGAATTGGAGAGTGGCGCGCAGTTTGACCAAGCATTCAGTAACTTCAATTCAATGCAAAGCGCTTTCCTGAGCTTCGTCAAGGATGCTATTGGTATATGTTTTTATTTGTTGCTCTACTGCCTATGCTCACCAAGCTCACATAGCATTTGAATCAATGTTGCCGGAGGAGGGAGATAACGAAAGCGATTCTGATGTCAAGGGCGATGAAGATAGTTCCTCAAGGAGGCGAGCCTGAAAGTTCCTGGCCGGATTCAGGACTTATATACGATGCCTTTGGATGATTTTCTCAGTGATATGGTATGTGATGCATTGGTGATGGCTAATACTCATGCAACTGATCTGTTTGCTTCAGGACACCCGGACTGATAATACCTTGCCCATTGAGAATGTGGGGCTTGCCGGCTACGTGCAACAAACCAGGGACACAATATTTGCCTTACAGGGTTATTTCAGCGGTAGTAAGTGATGCATCATTATTGGGCACTGGGACCATCACTAATGCATCTTTAGCCATACCTGATGCATCATCTATCACTAATGCATCTCCACCCATCACTGACGCATCACTTACCACTAATGCATCTCCATGCATCGCTGATGCATCAGCTCCGCTTGGAAACGTCTATGAAACCCCGTCTGATCCTCTCTTAAATGCCAATCCTTCCGCTTTCGATCCATATCCTCTGACCACCAATCTTGACTTAATGTGTCCCTTCAAGGATTTGGACTTTACATTCTCTACAGCTGAACCTTCAACTCGGAGTGTCGATGTGTCTATTGACACTTTTCCTGACCTTGCACAGTCCGTACATTTCGGTACAGACTCAATTATGCGACTACCGAATCCACGATTTCACGTCCCCATTGATGAGTCTATTAACACTTCTCCCGACCTTGCACACTCCGACATGGCAGTGCCCCTCATCAACACTTCTCCCGACCTTGCACACTCCGACACGGAAATGCCCCTCACCAATGGTGAGACTGCTGCCAGCGACCAAGACGAAAGTGTTGTACCTCCGGCTCGAGCTCATCGGAAGTCTTGCCCAGTTGGCGGTCAGCAAAGTCGGACAAAGGACGCTGCTGCACCTGAGGGGTTACGTCTTCGTCGGAATCGTGTTGCATTCAATCCATGAGAGCGGGACAATGCAATTGGTGACCCGACCCCACGCATTGACTCATCAAAACGCAAGCGCACCGAAGATGCAAGATCCCACAAGTATGTATATTCTGCTCGTGTTAGATTATTGCTGATTGTGCTGACGGGTTGAACAGGAAAATATGGCGCTCATGATTGAGATGCTCGTGATTGAGACTCTCATGATTGATGAGACATACTTAATGTACATATTATTGTTACCTCGCACGTATTAAACAACATGTTTGCTAAAAATAATAAACCTACACGTTTTCTTGATAATATGACTGCTCGAGTGAAAATCAAAAGGTTGTTACAAGGCAATCATACAGGGCTTCACATGCGGGACTTTGTGAATGAGAAATTGATCACAACTAATCACGAAGCGCTGTAGAGATTCATGCCTCTCCTTGTGCAATATTGCAGTTTTCACCAAGGAGTATACAGCACGAACTTGTAGCATCACTCTGTATGCTATCCACAGCTATTCCTACATGAGGCGCAGCTTTCCCGCGCAATGCGCAACTCACGCGCATACCTTTCCCGCGCTTCACGATGTATATGCACATGCACTTTCCCGCGCTTGAGCGCCCTATAGCGCCAGCCATCCGGAAGCATCCATCCACTGTCCACCAAGTTCCCTAGTGCGTATATTTCCATTTCTCACATTTGCTTATCATTCCATCTTTATTTTTATCATGGACCCTTACTTACATATATCTTTACATACCTTACTCGGTAGCGCTTTGGCTCCGCATGACAGCGCTTAGGCGCCATACTTAAGTGCGAGCAGTACATACTATTACTAACTTACTCACCCACCACAAACGACAGAGGACTGAACCACAACAATACCCATTTACTACACAGTAGAGCATAGTTGAAATCTATTCCTTGGCACCTCACATATAACATCTCTCAGCTTGCATCTCTCACCTCTTGTCTAGTGTCTAATCATCACTTAAGCAAACTCACTCTTACTCTCTCTTGTTTCCGCATACACGCGCGCGCATTCCCGTGCTTCACGCGTTCTCGCGCCTCGCGCACACCTGCGCTTTCCCGCACTTCGCATTTACCAACCAGTAGCGCCTTCAGCGCATACTACTAGATCCTTGCTGTACTCGCTTCCCCTTTAGGGTCGAACGCACTTGTCGTCTCAAGTATAGCAGACTAGGCAACGCGCGACCTTACAACATTTATAGATACAGTCAGGAGCATTGTTCGTGCCTCGCTGTATCATTGAACCTTCAGCGCTGTGAACTTGGTGAATGAAAAGTACAAGACTGGCGTCATGCATCATTATATGACTCATCAGTGCTATTATACATAGTTTTGGTTCGATGGCAAACTGCCTACCAAAAATAAAATAAGTAGTAGCCGGGTAGTGTGCTGGAATAGCAATAGGCCTACTGGAACAACGCTGAGTAGCCGGCCAAAGCCAGGCCCCCAGTGAGGAGCAAAATAGAGGTGGAGGTAAGCAAGGTACATCAAAAAGAAGCAAGGTACGATCAAGTGATAAGGCATGGCAAGCCCAAAAGGGTCGTACAAGGTAATGCATCACAGACCAAAGTGATGCATCGAGAATGCATTACATTCTACATTAGGACGGTGGCTAATGCATACAGCTTCTTGCAACGTTGTTGCATTAGAAAACTCTGCTTATTAGCCTATGATTGTGCATTAGAATGACATTATAGCCTGGGGGAAGGGCATAGTGAGGAAATCCAAACGGTAGACGAGGTCTGGGTGGTCGCTGCCCCCAGTGGTGCCATTATAATATGATGTTCTCTCATACTTATTGGGGCCGTGCACGGAGACAGCAGCATCTCTGGTGAACGTGAGGGCAGAGACATTGGACACCATAGTCGCATCACTTAGGGCCGGGGAGCTGGGCACGCGAGGCGAGCTGGGGCCCTTGCATTGCTGGCCCTGGAGGTTGATACATTGGAGAGTGAAGAGGGAGAGTTCTGGACGGAATGTAGTAAGTGTGGTGTAGATGCAGAAAGAAATTAAAGGACTTGCTCAGCAGCTCCAGTTGCTCTCTCATAGTCTTGAGCGCATGCACAGCGGGTTCGGATACTCCTATAAGGGAGATGGTAAGTATAGCATAGATTGTGCAGTGAGTCTCCCCTCCTGGAATGACTAACTAGCACTAACAGCGCTGGAAGGCATGCCATTGACGTGCAAAGAGACTAAGGGACTCGCCTTCGCCTAGAAGACCGGCTTTGTTCAGTTCATCTTCTGTGAATGGCAAAGCTTCAAGAGGTCAGTGTGGAATAGACGAAGGAAAAAACGATAGGACTCACTCATAATGAAGTTGTAAACGCAGTGTTTAGCAAAGTTCGCAGATGTTTCGGAGTGGGTTAGGGGCGAGAAGAAGTCCTCATATGGTAGGTCAACACTTAGTACTAGATTCATCATGGACTCGTCATATAGACCTCTTACATAATTTCCAATATTCCCGCTACGGTAGCTGGGAAAATCGCTAGCAAGCTGATAGACAAGTGTCGCAAAAAATATGCAGTCGTGCAGCGTTCGGTGTGTTTTTGCGAGAAAAAGAATGTTCCTGCGAGCTGCTTTTCGGCATTCGTCTCCTCTGTCACTTTGAGACTTCTCATCCTTTCCGCTAATGTGAACACAACGGCAGACTTTCCAACTCCAGCAGTACCATGTAGCCAGATGAGTCAACTTTGCTCTCGGTTGTATAGCAACCTGTAGTCGAGAAGATCCACCCGGGTCCCTTCCAAACATTTCAGGTGGGGCTGTCGTTCACTGGAGTCATATTCTGCGCCATGGACAGCGACTTGGGACAGCCTCGCCCAAGTTCTTTCAAGCGATGACAGGACTGCTAATGGGTTTAGAGAGTAAGAGAGGGATAGGATAGAAATGCTGACAATAATATTTCCTGATTCATTTACGATGGTCACAACGCGACTGCGTAATGGAATGGAACTAGATGATACTAGCTGCATTTGAGAGTAGGGTTAAATATCATACTGGCGAGTCTCAAAGAACAACGTACGACGGTTTGAACTAGACTTATGGATCTATAAGTTATAAAAAAGGTCGCGAGATGGCAAGCTATGGCATCGAGTGACACGCAAAGTAGAATTGTGAGATAAGTCACGATCTTGGGACTATGAAAAGCCTGCTGGGTAGTGGTGGAATGCGCGGTTAAAGGATGAATGGGCTTCCATCTGCTTCAAGGTCACGAGGGTGCTGCACATGTACGAGGTATTCATCGAGGTGCGTTGATATGATATAACTGAAAATCACTTTCATCCTCGACTCCGTTGTTTGCAGCTCTTCGGGTGCAATTCGGGTGGGACCTCAAGTCCTTGTGGGAAACCGCGAATAAGCAACTGTGCCATGCACTCTTGCTGGCCGGCGAGCACAGAAAAGCTTTCAAGTTGTTCTATTCTATGATAGACAAGTGTGATGAGCCTATGAAAGCCAGCTTACGGACTTGGTTCACTGGTAAGTCTCCAACAATGTCACATATGTTACTGTCTTTAACCGCCCCTCACTCAGAGTATATATGAAGCATGCTCCATGTTGCCAGTACAGATGGAGCCATCACCATGAATGGTTGCTTGTGCATTTCGGTGAACAGTATTTCATACTTTTCCTCCCGCGGTAGAGCGACCTGGCAATTCGATAGTTAGCCCCATCTAAAGTGCCAAAGCCCGCTACCCGACTTGCCCTAGTGTACCAGGTTTCTGCATTTTTCTGTTACCGTCTGATCCTTGCTGGCGCAGCGGGGGCGAAAGGTTTGTGTTCACTTACCCTTTATAAGGACACCAATGTGTGATTTCAAGCTGCGAGAGACTATCACCTTCATCATATTCAAACATTAATACTGTGACAGCGCAACAAAGGCTTCCAAGCAACACATGGTTTGGCACGAACTCAAAAGATGAATTTGCAAATTTGACATCATGTCAGAAAAATCATCATGACCATGCTGGCCAAGACACTATGGCTTCCAAGGAAGTCCTGGACATATGCTCCACCTTTGAAAACAACGATTGCGATTGCGATGATTTAGACACGGCTTCGTATGCACCCCGACTGCGTAAGATATTGAGAAATGGAAATAGCTCTTCTTCTGCACCAGTCTTCTTGATGACAAACAGAGACTAGTAGCAACCTAGTCCAGATATTATCGCCTGATATTGCACTTCGGAAGTGTCCACACTCATCAACATATCTAATATGCATTTAACTAGATCAGATGAAGAACTAAAGCCGCGGCCCGATTGTCGGACATGACCCAAAAAGACAATGGATACAGATCGTCTGCGAGACAATGAAACTGCCCCGCCGAGGGGCGATGTGTTGACGTTATCACGAAATATGTACCAAGTGTCTAGAAAAGTAAAACGAAATTCGCAGACAGGCAAGTGGCCGACAAGCGACATACCGCCAAGACGTTAAAATCAAACCGACATGGCTCCGTTCACGAGCACGTGACCACGTTAAGTCGCGACTCGTCAAGAAGTTATACTCTTCCGCCACAATCATGATTGAATCTATTCCCATTATTGACCTCACCACCTCCGGAGCTGCAGGGACATCATTAGCATCACATTTGATTACTGCCAAAATCTTCAGGCTACACTGGATGATGCAAAAGCGGGACTCCGAATAGTTAATGCTCACGCTGAGCTATCCACACATACTTGGGATGGCATTGAAGAATGGGTTGGTGAAGATGGCGCTCTCGGACTCAAGGATCCTAAGATTGTTGAGAGCGACGTACAAGTTCAAATCGTACGCGTTTCACCTGTTTAAATCATGGATGGTGACTTATTTGCCGTTTCAACCGTCGTTCCTGAATAGTCTTTCCTAAGGAAACTCAAGTTTCTTTACCTGGAACAGAATGCCAAAGATAAATATGTGAAGACCATTGTCAGTGACGATGCCCGCTGGTGACGCCTGCATTAAACGAGGAATTCCGAGTACGGAATGAGGAGAAGAAGTGCTGCGCTACGTGAGCACAAAGCGAAGCTAGCAGAAAGAAGGGACGATCTTCGAGCACTTTCTGGATTTGTTGAAGAAGGCGTGTACCGTGGACTGTTGCGTTTTCGTGCGCTTCATGCTAAACAATCAACGTAGATTACAAGAAAGCGCAATCCCTCACTCTCCAAGCATCCACGCTCTCACAAAAGATACTCGATGCACGTCTATCACTTACTCGCTTGCGACAGGCCCATCCCCATCCTCGGTTAACAATGACTACAGCGAACCAGCAACTTGATGGCCAGGTAGAAGAGATGCAAGCATTAGACGCGGAACTTGCAGATGCACACGAGAAGATTGCTACTGTACGAGAGCGGATAAAAGTTGGGATGGCTGAGGTTGAAAAGCTAAGGAGTATTAGAGCAGAGGTGGAAAAGGCGGTGGAAATCGGCGCTGGTGAAAGAGTGGGAGATGGAAGAGTCACTGAACTGTATGATTGGTGCGCAACTTCTAACGTGAGACTACTTATTTCTGACTCTCTCTGATTTCACGCAGGTTCTCAATCACGACCTTGACCTACCATGCGCTCGTTTCACTTCTCTCTGCGCATAGTGAGTCTGACAACGAGCTGCGCCTCACCTATCGCGTGCATGAGCGTGAGGTGTGTATAACGCTGCCATTCATACCTAATACGCGCCGCTTGGCTGAGGCACGGGTGGAGGGCGTCGAGGAACACGTAATCGGAGACGTAGTGGATGCACACGTCATGGAAAACGATGTATCTGGGCTTGTATCGGCTGTGCTTGTGAGAGCAAGGACCACATAATATCATCCCTATCGTGACTGGTAATTCCTCGTTGATACAGGAGGGACAATATTGTGACGTTCACGCGACAATCACTTACTCCTGCGAGCTGTCCATTACCTGGGAGTCAACATTCACGGCCGCTATCTAGTAGACCGCGGTTTGCCATATACAACGGACTGGGTGATAATTCAGACTCGGCAACATTTTGGTTGAGCCGGGCTGCGGTCAGCCACACAGAAGTTAAGAAAAAAAACTTGGTCTTGCATTCGAATGAGTACGGCGTGCCCCACGAGAGTGCCTCCTGGCTGTTATTCGCAGGAACCCGGTTTTCTTCTCCGACGAGCGCGCGCTGTCTGGGTTTGATGCATTAACCCTGTGTTGTGCGTGTCTCCTTTCCAGCGCGTCGTCTGTCTTTTTATCATTCCTTGTTCACCACTATGGCGACCTCTGCTTCATTTCACGGTGTTGTTGGTCTTCGGAATGGAAGCAGATATCAGATTGACAAAAAGAATTACTGGCGTTATGACGCTTTCATCGCGACTCTAGAACTGGGAGATGTTCGAATCAACGTGTTCACATTTGGTGCGAATACCGCGTCTGTGGAAGATGGAATCTATCTGTTGGATACACGGTCCACTATTGGTCCTATCATTGACGACGAAGGCAAATCTGCGCATTCTCTTCATCTCTTTGCTAATGATGTGCGTGGATTTTCTGCCTCCTTTTTGTCTATTTCATTTATCCGTCTAGGACTTACAACCTCTTCCTGACGGCTCTCGCGCCTTTCCGACAAGTCGTCGTAGACTCGTAGCAGGTAAAGTTTCGCGCAGTGATTGCACTGCATCGCAGATTCGTCGAAGTCCAACTACTCAATACATTCGCGAGAAAGCCACTGCATTCCCCGCATCAACTTTGCTTTCCATCCAAGTCATTCATCGTGGACAGTAAATCGAAGACAGTTTCCTCTGCGACTCGCATATGCAACCACATTTAATGATTGTCAAGGACTGACGCTAGCACGAATCGTGCTCGACTTGCGAACAGATCCTTTTGCTCACGGTCAATTGTATGCAACGTTATCGAGAGTAAGAACGCGAAGAGACACGTTGTGCTTATTTTCAGAGGCGAACGAAGAACAAGACTGTGCGAATATTGTATTTCCTGACTTGCTACTGTAAATACATTGAATCGCACTTACGCCTTCGTAACTCCATGGACACAGAATGAGGCCTGAGGCCTGAGGGCCGGCAGCCGACCAAAGACGAGTCCTTGTATACTACGAGATGGGCAAATCTTATCTGATCCAAAAAGTAGATAACGGAAAAATGGTATTTTATACTATCTCCACAGTCTTCACATCGAAACTAGTTGCATGAACCCTCGACATGTCGTCAACTTGTGCTATGATGCGTTCTGTCGAAGCTACTTTCCGAAACGTACGTCCCTCCCGCACTAGCAGGAATGCCACGAACGGCTGCCCTAAACGACCGATGAATTCGAGTGTGCGTGTGGTCTCGTCATCCGGCTCCTCCGTCAAGCATTGGAGCAAGTCGTCGCGCCAAATGTGTGCGATTGAATAGTCATAACGGGACGGATTCATCTCTGACCCAATCCTCAACTTCTCCGTTGTCTCGATGTGAAGTTCTTTGAGCCCCGCAACGTTGAGGCTATATTGGTGCAGGCGATTGTGAGATTGGCGTTCTGTGACATCCTCGACACGATAAATGATGGAAGGAATTGTGAGCTTGCCGTGCATGAGCAGTGGAGCTGGCAGGTCTTGCAATCTGTGATGCAGCGTGGCCATGGCGGTCATGGTAACGGAAGACAGTGATTCACGGAGGGTGGACATAGAGTCCTCAAGTGCGAGCGGTTCTGGCTTCCACTTCGCTACTTGAAAGCAAGATATATTTTCTGGAAGACAGCTGTTCATGCAGCCAGGTTGTCCGACCCAGTCCAAAACAGAGACATCCCCCGTTCTGCAGATTATCTCCTGTATCAGGCGACCAAGCGCCTTGTCTTCCTGCTCTCCATACAATATAGGTAGCTGGACGTCAAATATTCCGAACAGGGAATAGGCGATATCTTCCACCTTGGTAGTAGAGCGACGAGACGCCCAGTGCAACTTTAAGCGGGAACATGTAGGCCCTGGCTTGAAATCGCGGAGATTTACCACATCGACGCCGGTAGCCTCATCTAGTATACGGCATATGTGATCTGAATTTTTATGATTGGGCCCAACTTCGCTATTCTTCAACGATTCCTCCGGAGCAAACAAAGTCCAATCTCGTCTGTAGAACAGGATTACCATGGGAGCAAGGAGCTCTTGCAGCGTCCATCCTCGTGTTAACCACAAGCTCCTCGTTAGCGCATCGAGGGTAGAGTTAGAAATGTCGGAAAGGTAAATGATGGTCAGTGCAGAACCTCGGTACCACCTAAACATGGAATTGATAGCTTCCTGCAGCTCGACGCTGTTTGTTAAATCAATACAGCAAGTATCGCACCATGCCCAGCGGAGTTGCTGGCTCTTTGTGATGCGGCAGAAGTTCTGCAACTTCGACAGACCTGAAAATCTGGAAGTATAGATGCTTTCCCCTTGTCTGATGTCCTGCAGTCGGACTTCTCCACTCTCCCATCGGTGAGAAAGCATTCCATATGCAAAGTAGTCCTGCACTTTGGACTCAGCCTCCCTCTCAAGCTTGTCGTAAGTTGTGATCATTGACACTATCTCCGTGTAGTGCCCAGAGTGCTCGAAGACCTCTAACCGCGCTGGTTGACCGCATATCACACCGCTTTCGGTATCGAAGAGACGGGGTGGCGTGTTTTTTAGTAATTTCTTTGCTATTTCCCCGACTGTCATCTTGACTGTCTCTGGCCTGATATATTGTGCTGCAGGAAGTTCAATACATACTTGGCTATCCAGAGAATACTCAACTTACAGTGTGTGCCGGAACCGGCAGTCTCGCTCAAGTCGAGAAATTTGTTGAATGCGCAGATGGCCTCGCAGTATCGACCAGCACCGTGCAGGGCTTCGTGCTTTCTATAGTACCCGAGGGGTATGAATGGTGCCAGTCTGATAGCCTGGATGTTTTATTCGCATGAGTATGCAATCGAGTGCGCAACTCAATTATCATGCCTGCTCCGCATCGTTGAGTGCTTCTTTCCATTGTTGATTTGAAGCTAGGGCAAGACTCCTGTTCGAATATATTGTATAATCCGCCTGGTCGAGCTTGATTGCTACGGTGTAACGATTTATAGCGGTGTCGAAATCTCGCCATTTCAAGGCCATGTCACCTTGCGCCTTTCTGACACACCGCTGTGAGACGACGATCGATGACAAGTCAGGAGAACATAATCTAAGATTGCCTGCGTGTTACTAACCTCGGCCTCAGGCGTGAGCGAAGTGTTTGTTTCACGTTCGAGAGTCATCCTCTGCAATGTCCTAAAGATAGAAGTTAAAAATCCATGTACAGTGGGGGGGTTTCTGAGCTCTTGGATCTGTTTCAAGAGTGTGCGTAGTCCTTCCTCGGTTTTCTTCAATCTTTGCCGTTGTTCATCATCTTCGACCTTTCCCTTCAATCCAGCGATGGTCCTTTTATGTGATTCTACCAGATTGATCAATTCCGCTGGTAATGTGCTTCCGGCATTGATAGTTCTTCCTAGAACCAATTCCTCTTGAATAAAACAATCATCGACAGCTGCCTTGTTCACAAGAATGGGTGTTATTATATCCCAAGCAGACACATGAGACCCGCGGAACCGAGGAAATTCTGATCCATGTGCAACCATTTCCTGCCTGAAGAGGCTCTTCAATAGTTGCTCGCGTCTTTCTTCCGCCTCCGTAGCGACCTCGCTCCATTTCGTGGTTGCCAGAGTAGCATAATTCTCTGTATATTCGCCGTGCAGCCTTCGAAACGTGTCGAGACTCATGTGTAGCCGAGGATCACAGATGTCATGAAGATAGATGATACCAGCCAATTTCATATTCTCGCCGTATCTGGAATACGAATCATGATTTCATATACTTCGGCGACGAAAAGTTACTTACGAACTTGCTAACCAAACAGCGATGCGCCTCAAGATCTCAGAGTCGTGTCCAAATGCGTTATCAAAACCAGGTGTATCAACGAGAACTACGCGGCGGGAGGGATCGCTGGGGCATGCGCAGAAGGCGTGTTGAATTCGAGATGTACATGACTCTAAGCCATGGCCGACAGGTGTCACGACCTTCCCGATTGCAGTGTTAACGAACTATCATCGAAGAGGAAAGTGATACGGTCAAAAATACGAATGAATTCTAGTCTTACGGTGCTTTTTCCGACACCAGTCACACCGATCACGCTGGATAATCCCATGAGTTACACATTATCATATACATCTTGCAGGATGAAAAAGCCCACAGTATAATGATATCATCCGGCCTCCCTTCGTCTAGTGGCACATCACCAACTTCCTCAATTTTTTGCTTTCCTTCCCATACCTTTCGTGGCATTGTAGTTTTGGAGATGAGGGAGCAGAACAGCGCTTGATAGAAATAGAAATGGAACTTTAGAGGCATGAGGCTTGGAATTCCCGCATGTGGCCGCCTTCATCATAATGAATAACTTTGTAAACAAGTGGATTGCGACTCAAGACAGTTTTGTGAGCTACATGCCATCAGTATAGCTAGTGACCGCATCAGAGAACCAATGGTGGACAAACTGGATCTAAAATGTCATTAATGACTACCGACAGACAGTGAAACGATAACATTTAAACACTATGCGTATGAATGACAAGTCTGGGATTGGCGCCCGCACCGCTACGATAATAAATAATTTTGTACAAAAGCACACTCGATGAGTCCGAGGTGTGTGAGCTTACCTATTAGAGTAATACATAAATAGGTTGAAGTGTCTACTGGTCAATCCTCGCATGCAGCGAGTAATTCATTGCAGGGGCCGCTGTTGGGATAAGGATGGCCATCAGCAGGCTACACAAAATACCTCTGATCCGTACCTACTCTTCTCCTCTGACTGTGCGAGGGAAAAAACATAGAAATCCATCGCCGGATCGCCGGGCCGAATGTGACGTGACGTGACCTTGAGAAACCACGCTGTATTTGCAGGGGTTCTTCCAAGGGCGTCTGGACGATAGATTCAATGATTGTCCAGGCAGAGGTTTTCGTGCCCAAAAAATGAGCATCCCTGGCTCCCCGAGAAGTCAGATTTCCCCACTCCGTGTTCGCTAGTCGTCTTTCACGCTGTTCTAGTACTACACCCGACTTGCTATCACTCCAGTCCGCCGTGGTAAGGATAACATTCCTTAGCGAATGATAGCCCGATAGCATTTGGACAGTCAGAATGGCATGGTTCAAAGATGAGTAATCGGTTTGAGTTATATCGTGCAGAAATATGATGCCGGCAATTTTCAGATGTCTGAAATCAATCTGAGGTTAGTATACCGCTTGTAGGACCCGACAACACTCGACATTGCGTACTCACACGTTCTTCAGCCAGTCAGCAATTTTGTCAAATACCTCTGATTCCTCCAAGTATGTATGATTGAAGCCAGGTGTATCGACCAAGAATATGCGGTGCGGGCTCGGAAAGGAGACTACTTGAAACTTGTCGATCTCGTGTGTGCATGATAATATATCATCGCTCGTGCGCGCTTTGGGCTCCCCGATAGCAATGTTAATAAACTATTCGTAAGGTCAAGTCAGTGGTGTATCGTCAAAACATGGTGGTCCTACCGTGCTTTTGCCTGCTCCAGTCAATCCTAGTACGCTAAAAACGCCATTTAGCATCCAGATAGCACTCTCTGGATCAATTATACTAACGGAATGATTATATCGCCTTCTTCGAGTTCGCTGTTCTCGTTCATGTTCGTTTCAAACATCACAAGGTGTCGAAGAGAACATGCTGAGAAGGCATGTTGTTCTACGCAAGGCGCTTATGTAATCGAAGACCTACTAACCAGGAAACTCCAGCTTCGGCACAGATCCGACCCTGTTCGGTTCGGTAACGACTAAGAAAGGGTCCCAGGTCCCAGGTCCACCACCAACCGTTAACTAACTTGCCGGTGGGTCGTTCACTATTGGGCGCAGCTGGCCGGTCGTCGTTTCGCGATCGTACGACACTAGTACGTAGGCCTGTACTCCCACAAGGTATATAGAGTAGTATTATCTTCAACAGAACGAGAAGGTTGGCGTTGAAGTTCCTACGTGAGTTAAACCTGCCAGGAGGATGGCCGCCTGCACGGGCGGTTTACCCGATATCAAAGAACAAGCCTCTGCTGAACTACATACTTTCAGGTAATTCATATCATTTACTTAGACCGTATTTTATTTTGGTCCCCCTAAATCCCACTTTTGTACATTCGCTTGTGAAGCTCCTCGACAAACAAAAGGGTCTCCAGAATGACAAGTTCTTGATGCTCAAGTATTCATACACCATAGCTGTAACAATGTGGCCGCATGCACACTCCAGTGAGGTCATTCTGTCAGCGCTAGTTTGTACACAGTTGTAATTATATATATGTATAACTACAAAACCGGAAAATTTCGAGTATTTCACTCCTGTGCCACTATTCGTCTGAGCCAATCTGTTATAAACCTATGATCGGCAGTTCACCTTCAGGCTGCATGCAGGATAGAGGACGGGAGCCTCGTGTCTTCAATTCTAAATATATTCCCCCACCAGCAAGCTCGCTTTCTGCATATTTCCCCTCAGTCAACAAGTCCCCGACAAATCTCCAACAGCTACGATGCCAGGAAAAAAATGGAAAGAAAGGAAAAATACTATGAAAGATGGTGATGTGATACTGAAGGACAGGAGGCCCAATGATATAATTATACCGTGAGTTTATTCATGCTACGGACGATCATGCAACTTATTGAACGTATCATTCAGCGTAATGGGGCCAACTGGGGTCGGGAAAAGCACCGTAAGACCACAACCCAACCTTATTTTACGGGCTAACTTCAACGGTTAGTTCATCAATACTGCATGCGGAAAGGAAGTGACCGCTGTTGGTCATGACTTGAAGTCATGTACCGCTAGCATCCAACACGCAATCTGTGAATGTCCTAGCGACCCCTCCCGCCGTGTAATTCTCGTCGACACACCCGGTTTTGATGATACATACGTAGATGACTCGGAAATCTTGAGGCGCATCGCTGTTTGGCTGGCAAGTTCGTAAGTACAATTACCATTGATGAAGTATGTAGGCTCATAATGTCGATCATAGGTACGGCGACAATATGAAGCTGTCCGGTATCCTCTACTTTCATGATATCAGCCAAACGCGGATGTTTGGGACTTCGCGCAAAAATCTTGACATGTTTCGAAGGTTGTGCGGTAAAGATGCCGAGAAGAACGTCGTTCTTGTGACCACAAAATGGAGTGAAGTCCAAGAGGAGGTGGGAAAAAGGCGTGAGCAACAGTTGAAGAGTAGCTTCTGGCAGGAAATGATTCAACATGGGTCACAAGTCGCTCGATTCCACGAGCCAAATCTACCTGAATCTGCTTGGGATGTCTTGGAGCCCATTCTTGCAAATAGGGCAGAAGCTGTCGCCGTCCGCATTCAACAGGAACTGGTTGACTTGGGAAGACTAATTCCAGAAACCGATGCTGGAAATGCCTTGCGTGCCTCATTGCAGGAGCTGGCAGCTACGCATAAAAGGAATATCGAGGGACTGAAGGGGAAGGTCAGAGAGGACGAGCAAAGACGAAGATTGAAGGAGACTGAGAAAGAAGTTTATGAGCTCTTGAAACAAATTCGAGAACTCAAGGTGCCATTCGGGAGGCGGCTGAAGAATTTGTTCGGTCTTAGTTAGCACGAATCCTTGCGTTTTTTTCGTAATCTCATGTTATCAATACCGTGACTAGTAGCACTGGTATATTTATTATTTATTACACACAATGACTCACTGTTTACACATATAGGATCATCAACGTTTAATTACTAATACCGCCCGCGTCCGCAGAAACGTTGTTGGCGTTCTGGGGTCGACCGGTCGATCGTGCATTGTGTGAGGTGCCGGTTGCTCAGGCCTGCAGGAACGCTCAAAAGGAACGGCACCACATGTTCAGCCGAGCGGGTCTCCACCAGTTCACTGATAATGATTAATATTGGCATTATCTTGCAGGACCAGAACTACTACCAGGTTGTGGATTCATCAGTCACCCGACTGAAGGCATGGATGAATACGTCCAGGAGAGGAAGGCGAAGTTTGGGTGGAACTCGGCATCATGATTAATATTCTTGAAGGTGCAAGCTTCGAAAACCTCTGAAGAATTGGGGCAACTTGAAAGGCACCGAATACACCCCCGGCCCACAGATAGTAAGGACTACGGGAAAACACTATTGAACGTCGGCAGATCCACGTCTGTCGTTCCTTTCGAAATTTGCTCCGAGCTCGGTGGCTTCCCCAGGTTCAGCTCCTAGTAAGTATAAAGCAGACCCCATTCGCATCATCGCCTATTTCATGCCGCTGCTGCATCATCTATAAGGCGCACTTCTCCACTCATTCTCCCTATGAGAAAGCATCCCATATGCAAAATAGCCCTGCACTTTGGACTCAGCCTCCCTCTCAAGCTCGTCATGAGTTGTGATCATTGACACTATCTCCGTGTAGGACCCAAAGTGCTCGAAGGCCTCTAACCGCGCTGGTTGATGGCATATCACCACTTTCAGTATTGAAGAGACAGGGTGGCATGTTTTTTTTTAGTAATTTCTTTGCTATTTCCCCGACTGTCATCTTAAGTGACTGTCTCTGGCCTGACATATTGTGCTGCAGGAAATTCAATACATACTTGGCTGTCCGGAGAATACTCAACTTACAAGTTGTGCTGGAACCGGCAGTTCCGCTTATGTTGAGAAATGTATTGAAGGGCCCGGGTGATGAATTCGAGTGCTATGGCTCAGGTGCAGTATCCAGACTGAAGACAAGAGAGAATTTCGAGACAGTGGCAGCGACGAATTATCATAAAACCTAATATGTATAAGGCGACATCAGTTGTTGCTACTTTCACATTGAAATACACACACCTTAACAAATATTTGCCCTTCAGTTAAGACGACAAGGTAAGACCACAGACCCTTCAAACACCACTGCCGTTCGAGCCAGGAAAGGAGGTAACGATTCCAAAAAAGCTTGAAATATGTGGTCAAGCCTGTCATCTCGTGGATTTGGATCATGCGGAGATGGACAGCCCAGTTTTGACAAGCATACTTGAGAGCCTCGGAGGCTGATCGACTCCGTTCCAGTGCTTCGTCTGCGAATGTCGTAAAGGCATACATAGCATACATGATCTCCTCATCTATTGGAAAAAGACTTGGTGATGAAGAGGTGGAATGATGGTGTCTTAACGCCAGGAACATTGGAAACATCAGAGAATCCGGCAAGTTCTTGAACTGCTGGATGACTTCGAAAGCTGGCAGTAAACGCATTTCTGGCAAGATAATATGCCCGTTGATTGCTTCCAGTGTGCTTGAGAATTCCTCCAGTACCGCCTGGACAACTTGCCCTTCCAGGGTCTGCAGCCAGTCTCTCCCTCCCTGTGTCCGCAGCCATTCTAGCCCTCCTGCGGTCTGCAGCCAGTCTCGCCCTGCCTTGGTCTGGCGTCACTCCACCAAGGTCGGTGTCGGCAGCCAGTCTCGCCCACATGGGGTCTGCAGCCAATCTCTACCGTCCCTGGTATGGAGCCAAAATTTCCCGCCCGGGGTATGAAGCCAGTGTCGCCCATCTTGAGTCTGTAGCCAGTCTTTTACACCCGGGCTCTGAAGCCAGTGTCGCCCACTCGAGGTCTTCATCCAGCTTCGTCCGCCTGAGATCTGCACCCAGGCTTGCTTTCCCGGGGTCTGCACCCAGGTCTGCTGGTCATCTTGATCCTGAAGCCAGTCTTTACCAGCTTCAGTCCACAGCAGCCACATTTTCCCTGCATCGGTCTGAAGCCAGTTGCGACCCTCTACAGTCTCTAGCCAAGATTGTGAATGTGAACTGCGATCTCCCTGAAGCCATAAAATAGCGCTAAGGACTGACAGTGGCTCCGGTGGCTGAATGAGGAAGGCCAATGAGTATTTTAATACATGGGGGATCTCGCGTTCCATAGCGGAGCTCTGCGTCTCCAATTGCGAGAGGGCATCAAGAAGTGCAGTGTTTTCTGGAATGCCTTTCATCATCAAGCGAAAAGAGGAATGTGTGAGTAGGCGGTGAGGTGATGGCATATCGTGTACTTGACGGAGGCTGCAGTTTAAGGTATCTGAAACATAGTCGCGAATGGAGGAATGATAGATATTCACGGGGAGAGTGCTGTCTGCAGGGATATCCATGACAGACCGCAACTGCATCAGAGTTGTCTCGACATCCTTGCCCAAACCAGGGCCAAGCAGTGTCGAGATTTGCGAGAGAGGCAGAGGGTCTGTGAGAGCAGCAACGACGGACAAGTGCAGATATGCTCGCTTAGGGTCGGCACACGTAGAGAGGATACAGTCGTAGAATTTGAACGCCTCTGTTCCTGGTAGCAGCTCGCTTGTTAGCTCGAGCATCAGCATCAGCTGATCGTAGGGATCATTGTCTTCATTGTCGATAAACTTCATCATCGTAGACGCTACAATGAAACGTCTGCCCGCTCGGCTTGCAAGTCGCTCAAGTTGTTCAGTCGATGGTTGAGGAAAGTCAAGATGGCGACTTCCCAGTTGTCCGAAGGAATGCCGCAAGAAGATATAGATGTCATTGTCGACGTTAGCGCTGTCCAATGAGACGATGCTACCAATGCCCTTTCCAGAGATTGTCGCTGGTATCTCGCACATCAACGACCGCACTTCTTCATTTTCCATGGCTCTACATATATGTAATTCCGAGCGACTTGTAAGAAGGATGTGGATCGCGGGCAGATCAGGCTCACGAAGAACCCGTGCAAGGGAAAGGATGAGATCTGCAAGCTCAAATTCGGATGTGCACTCATCAAGGGCATCAACAACAAAAGTCAAAGGTTGACACCCGCGCAATCTGAGGTGAAGCCCACGGAGTGGTTGGAGAAAGAGCGTCTCCACCTGAACGCGGAGAGACTTGCTGGGATCTAAGAGAGCAGGATTGTCGCGGATCGATTTGCTCACGTCCGCCCGGATGCTGGGAAAATTACTAGCAAGCTGATAAACAAGTGTCGCAAAAAAAATATGCGGTCGTGCAGCGTTCGGTGTGTTTTCGGGAGAAAAAGAATGTTCCTGCGAGCCGCTTTTCGACATTCGTCTCCTCTGTCACTTTTAGACTTCTCATCCTTTCAGCTACTGTGAACGCAACGGCAGACTTTCCAACTCCAGCAGTACCATGTAGCCAGATGAGTCCACTTTGCTCTCGGTTGTCTAGTAACCTGTAGATGTAGTCGAGAAGGTCCACCCGAGTCCCTTCCAAACATTTCGGGTGGGGCTGTCGTTCACGGGAGTCATATTCTGCACCATGGACAGCGACTTGGGACAGCCTCGCCCAAGTTCTTTCGAGCGATGACAGGACTGCTAATGGGTTTAGAGAGTAAGAGAGGGATAGGATAGAAATGCTGACAATAATCCTGATTCATTTACGATGGTCGTGACACGACTGTGTATCGGAATAGAACGAAATACTAGCTGTGTTTGAGAGTAGGGTTAAATATCATGTTGGCGAGTCTCAAGGATCAACGTACGACGGAGATAGATATTCTATTGTCACGATCTCGGGACTATGAAAAGCCTGCTGGGTGGTGGTGGAATGCGCGGTTAAAGAATGAATGGGCTTCCATCTGCTTCAAGGTCACGAGGCTGCTGCGCATGTTGACATCAAACATTGCTGGCGCTCATCTGCTTCAAGGCCGCGAGGCTGCTGTGCATGACATCAAACACTACTAGCCCACAGGGGCTGCTGCTCGGTACCGTACAGCAGGACAGAACTGCCAGATGACGGTGTACGTTGGAGTCTTGGGATCCAGAGGTCAAATTTTGTGGACAGACTTGAGAGTTGAACGCACTTTAATTTAAATGACTGAATTGACATAGACTTTTCGGAGCAGTCATTTTTCTTTCCCGGTCCCATCTCCTACGGTCAACTTCCATATAGAGTAGCACCTGGAACCTGCACTGCTCTTTGTACTGCTGGCATGCTGCCAGTCCTGTGTGTGTGTGTGTGTGTGTGGGCGCGATAAAGACAAGCAAAGGACAAGTGTGGGTACTCAAGAGTTGTTGTGGTCGTCTATTTGGCAACAGCTCCCATTCCTAACAAAGCCAAACATTTTCTCCTGACTCTAAGTCATCAATTGATCCGATTTATGTCCATGATGGACTACGTAGAACAGCCGAATAGTAATCTGGTGCGTCAACCCACGTTACATCAATTCACTCTCACAATCTCTGTTTAGATCTGCTGCATCTGCCAGTAAGCTCACTACCTGTATTAAGACTCTTGTAACACAGTTTTGTGTAGTGCCCCATTCACAAATCCTACGACCGCCCGGACATGCTTGCACACATTCTGTCATGACTGTATCGCAGTAGCCGTACAACACTCCCCGCAATGTCCTATAGACCGCTCCTCGCTTTCACTTGACGATCTATCGCCAGCGAATCCAATCGTGAAACACGTGAGTGAGATCCGTACTAGCACAGCACAGGAAAAATCACTGACATAAAAGCCTCAGCTTGTGGATGAACTCATCATCGAATGCCCCAACCGAGTATCTGGATGCACGCAGACATTCCAAAGACAATTATTATCTGCTCATGTCAAGGACACCTGCCTATACGTTGAGATCCCATGTTCGGAAGAGCAATGCGATAAGCTCATCCTTCGGAAGGACGTTGGTAAGCATAAAGACGCTTGTGTGTACCGCTCGACGCAGTGCGACGGGTGTGGTACGACTATCAAGTACAGCGATCTCAGTGTTCGTGTCTATGACAATTGATTATTAATCTACTCACCCAAGCGTGGATAGACTCACAACTCGGAGTGTCCTTCCAAGTCTGCAATGTGCAATTTCTGCTTCGAGGAGTTCCCGAGGTCACAGTCACAAGCGCACGCTGCCACTTGTCTCGATTATGAAATTTCATGCACGCAGGCTGACAATGGCTGTTCCTGGACTGGTCCCCGGCATCAGCTCTCTGACGAACACATTCTCTCCTGCCCATACGAAGCTATCAAAGGATTCTTCTTCATCAACAGTACTCAACTATCATCACTAAATACGGAAAACGCCGCTCTCAGACAAAAAGTCTACGCACTCGAATCCGTCGTCCAGACGATGCGAAGAGACATCCAAACTTTCATAAACGTCCTCGGTCCATGGTACCGGTCACACATCCAAAGCCAAAGCCCACCAATCGCTCCCTCATCCATCAACGCCTTCGATCACCTCTTCTCGGCACCTCCCGGTCCTTCTTCTTCCTCCTCCAGAATCACTACCAATCAAGCTCAACCATCTTTCTCCGCAGATCACGGAGAACTCACGGCCCATAACGACATCGACGCGCTCGCACCCTACTTCCCACTCCCACACGAACATGCATTCCAAGAATCCCATAATTATCCCCGATCGCGCCGATCGTTCAGCGGGATCGTAGATCCACACTTGTCTCAACGCACACTGCCATTAACGCCTGTTGCACCTCTTAATCTCAGTACCTCCCTCGAGGGCTCGCTGAGTAGCTTACGTGACTCCATAGCCGCCGTATCCACATCCGTCGATTCCTTAGCACGTCGAAACGATATCGCCCTCACGAATGAGAGCATGCGTCTGAATGAAGAACTTGGCTCTCTTAAATACGCCGTTCACGGCATACGACTGCAAGTACGTTGCGCTTGCAATCTTGTTATCTTATCCATTCATTTTATCTCCATTTCAATCTGCATCATGCGGCATCATTCTAATGATTTTTTTGGGCGCAGCTTCACCGTTTGATGATGGACAGGAATGCACAGGTGACAGGGAGAGGTGGAGAACCGCCTTCAGGTCCATCCGGCAATCAGACTATCTTTTACCCTCCGATATCAATGATGACACCTTCGTTTCCTGGACCGCCTGGGACGAAGCTCTAACCAAGTTCTAGTCCTGCGGTTTATGGGTCGTTCAATATCCTGCTATCTTACTGTAATTGATTATGATCATATGTTTATGGGTTTCGTCCGATAGGCCACTGCTTAAACCGAATACCAGTCTTTCTCTAGATTGGGGTGCAGGCTCAAGAGTCTCGTCCGAGTCTCTACCAGTCTTCGTTTCAACTTCTCCGTAATTTGAAACTAGCCATGGCGGCCATCACACGGCCTACCCCTGTAGACGACGCGACCCTGTCGATCCCCCAAGACATTGCACCAAGACAGCTGCGACTGAATTCACAAAAGGATTAAACTAAGTACATTAATTTAAGTAGAGCCAGAAACCCGAGCAAAATCGCACGAAACGAAAATATGATGGGATAAAGATGGTGTTGGTTGAGCAAAAAAAAAGAGATGGAGATGGAGATAAGAAACTAAAAAAATAGAGGCAATACGAGACTATGGACTATGATGGACGACACAAAACAGAGAACAGCAAGCATGACCAGATAACGACGAGCAGAGGGGAGTAGCGAACGAACGAGTGACAGGGTGATGGACAACGGGACGAAAGGGACATGCTGGCAGTGCAAGTGCTGAGTGTATCAGTATGAGTATTGAAAAAAGTAAAAGTAAATAAAGTGATGGACATAAAGCACAACGAAACGACAGGTTCGAAAAAAACCCACGAGACCATGACCGAATTAATTTGCAGCGACCACGGAATAATAGCAGCGAGCAAAGGCAGTAGTAAATTATGGTACATGCGAATTCCAGACGGACGGACGATGAGAATGGCAAGATATGGACAGGGGTCCAGGAAAGTCGACGGCCGCCTTAGCTATATCCACTAAACCGCTCCCCACCATGCCCCACGCTATTTGAAGGAGGTACAGCAAATGTGTATTCAGCCGGAGGCGACACATACGAGCTCATACCGCCACCGATTCCAATATTAGCAGACGGAGCAGAGCTCAACGCAAAACTGCTCTCTGCTGGGTACTGCAACCCAGGTTGGGCGTATGAGGTCTCCGTGGGAGGAAACGTGCTATCCCGCGGAAATGGTGGATAGTTTCCTGTGTGGGAGTATTGGTTGGATTCTGGGGCGAAATGATATGCGTTGGACGGGGCCGTCGTGTCTACAGGCGTGGGATATGAGGAGTTGTGTTCGATGTTGTTCTGAATATGATTGTGCGGCACTCCTTCTTGGATGGTGGGTATACTGGGCCTGCGGCTTGCTGTGGCGGGCTCCGTGGGACCTAGATAGGTGTTGGCGCTAGTTTCAGGTGGGAGCTGCGTAGCCACACGTCAGCATCTCATCAAAAACGTTCGAGGTAAAATGACTAATTACAGGATTGTAACCAAACGAAACCTCGCTCGTTCGCAGACCCGAAGGACCAGGGTCCTTGTTGTATCCAGGGTGTGGACTTCCGCCGGGTGAAACAGTGGAAGCAGGGGAAGAGTACCCTGGTTCCTGTGATAACAGGTGCTCCCTGTGTTGGTAGGAAAATGAAGACGCGGCGTTTAAGTGAGCCTCATTGAGCGATCCCTGGCTGGACCGCATGTTCAAACCGGACATACGCGTTTCGAGGTTGGATGCACTGTAACGTAAAAAACATCAATGAACGAACGTATCGATCGCAAAAGCGCAGCCTACCAAGACCCTCTCCTGCCATTAGAATCGAAATGATCGACGCCAACACAACTGCTGACGTCCGAATAAATTGCACTGGTCGCGCTGGTGTCGCTCCCACAGATGCTAGCAATCGAGCCGAATCTAGATAATCCAGTAGAACTGTACGAATCCTCCGTGTCCTGATCTGCCTCGTTGCGAGGAAACGCCCATGCGTGCATGTTCCCGGGAGATTCTGCATCCGGTGAGACATGTGGAGGGGACCCAGAAGTCGGAGCGCCAAACTGGAAATCAGGCTTTGGCAGGGGTCCAGGAATAGGCGACGGGAGCGCTCTAGAGCTCATTGTAAAGCGGTTGTCTGAGAGCCGGCGCGGCACGTGCGAGGACGGAAACGGTGGACGAATCTCCGGTACAAGGGAGGAGCGAGTAGGCGAGAAGACATGGGGCTCTGACGCTCTATGAGCCAAAGAAGGGCGGGTGTAAGGGCTGTAGGAAGTAGAAGAGCTGTAACTTGCTGCACGTATGCTTGGCCCACCGAGGCCGGATGGTGGACGG